TGATGTTTTCTGTCTCTGACGTTATGTTTCCTGTCTCTAACTTGATGTTTCCTGTCTCTGATGTGATGTTTTCTGTCTCTGACGTTATGTTTCCTGTCTCTGACTTGATGTTTTCTGTCTCTGACGTTATGTTTCCTGTCTCTAACTTGATGTTTCCTGTCTCTGATGTGATGTTTTCTGTCTCTGACGTTATGTTTCCTGTCTCTGACTTGATGTTTTCTGTCTCTGACGTTATGTTTCCTGTCTCTGACTTGGTGTTTCCTGTCTCTGACTTGATGTTTCTTGTCTCTGACTTGCTGTTTCCTGTCTCTGACTTGATGTTTCTCGTCCGCAGACGACCTGTTCCAGAAGGTGGTCAACAGTCGCTCCAGCAGGACGATGAATCAGTGAGACGTCAGCAGAACGTCTGAGGAACCAAAGAACAGAACATGTTCTCCTCTCAAAGGGTCAAAGGTCACAAAGCTGAGAGGAAAAATCCCCCTCGAGTCTTTTCACTCTGCAGGAAGTAACGTCACCTTTCACAATAAAAGCACATCAGTGATTCATGAAGGGAACAAAACATTAAAGGCTTTAACATGTGAGACGATAGAAACAGAATGATTAAACTGTGGTTAGTTTGAGTCCCAGTGAGACACAGAGGTCAAACTAAAGTGGAGTCAGTGCCTTCATTGAACTGTGGGAAATGTAGTAGACGTATGAGTGAAGCAGACGAGGCTGGGAGCCGGCACAGATCACTGATCACTGATCAATACATGAATCAGACAGTGTGGGAGGACCTGACGGGGATTTTTCTTCAGTTTGTAGAGAAGAAGATTTTTTTATTTTTTACCGACTCAGCGTTTGATTTTCTTTGTACTGTAAAAAACAGACGTCACTTCTGAAGTCCAAAGTTTGAACCTTCACATGTAAAACTTTTGTAAAGTGTGTTTCTGTTGTTGTTGTTGTTGTTGTTTACTCTGTGTGTCGTTGTCCTGCAGCATGTCGGCAGGTCTGAGCTCAAACAAACAAAGTGACCTGATGGATTTCTGGAGCTTTTTTTTAGGATTTTTTTCTTTGTGATTTTTTTGTAAAATAAAACTGAAAAATGAGCTCTGACAAACACGTCGTGTGTGTGTGTGTGTGTGGTCAGAGGTCACAGGGTTCATGTCTCTGCCCGCTTGTAAAAAGGCTGCAGAGCGTCACAGTCACCATGCCGACTTAAATTATTTGTAAAATCTGTGCACGTGTCCTGCATGCACGTTTCCTGCGTGCACAATCCTCCTCACCGTCGCAGAGGGAGGATCAGAGTTATGAAATATTAATGTGGTCCAGGTGAGGTCAACATCAGCCGAGTCCAACAGAAACAGAAGCTTCTTTTTACAGGGTTTAATGCGAAGCTGTGAACGCCTCACTGAGTGAACCTTCAGTTTCCTCTGCAGGGGAAAAGAACAGACCGTTACACACACACACACACACACACACACACATGCAGCCGCTCAGTAAAACATTTTTCTATGAAGCTGAAGTTTGCAGTTGAAACTTTATTTTATTTTATTTTATTATACTTTATAAAACAACAAATACAAACAATACATAATGAAACCGCCAACACTTTTTTTTTGTTAGACATTTTTTTGAAATAAATTTTCTTCTTTATCAGTACACTGCAGAGTACAGAGGTAAAAATAAATAGCGGAGAGAAACGACATAACAAGACACAAAAAATAAGAAATGTTAATAAAAAAAATATAACAATAATATAAACAAAAACAATCCAGTTGGACAAACACATGAATATCACAGACACAGTAACGTACGACTCAGCAGGTCAGAGCAAACCAAAGAGGAACAGACAGTTTTTGGTTTGTTCAGGAGGCGTGCAGATGATGAACTCTGGGACTAACAAGGTACCACTGAAAACAACATACTGTAAAACTTCAGTTAGTCGCCTCAGTCACCAGCCCAGTGTGGCCACACGTGTTGACAAACAAAGCCTGTCTCAACTGACCTGTGGCTAAGCCCCGCCCTCAGACGTGATGAGCCAATCACAGTGCGTATAGCCATTCCCATACACTGGGACATTCTCTGCCTGGACGTCCATTGAAATGCGTTACAGAAAGTCAGTTTGTTCGGTTTTATGAGCTTTTTCTGAGATTTGAAGTTTAAAAATGGTCAAACGGTGTGCATGGGGTACATGCAACTCTGACACAAGGTATCCTGAGAGGCTGGGCGACCAGGTGTATTTTTTACACTTTAAACCACATCTCAACTTAGAAAAGTGTCTCCTTTGGATAAAGTTGTGTGGTAACGTTAGACCACAACATCAACTCAACGTGAATAAGATTAACAATGATGTCTACATCTGTTCTAAGGTAAGTCAACATTGTGTTTGAGGCAACATATTGTCACTTTGCTGGAAAGAAATATAAAGTTATCTTTAACATCTCTAGCTAACGTTAGCTAAAGTTAGCCTAACGTTAGCTCCTAGCTGCGTTGTTCATCATGTCACCTTGTTTGCTGGGAGTTCATTAGCCTATTTTGTTCTAGTTTTGTACTTTGGTGATCGTACATCATTGTTAGCTGTTGTCCAAAGGGCTCTAGTTAAGCTAACGTTAACTTCTGGAGCTTAGCTTCATTAACTTATCTGTAATGGCAGAGATAACAAAGGTTGGCAAACGTTATGCTGAATGATTCAGTGTAAATACTGTAGCACCAAACTAACGGAGAGACACTCTTGGTAAAGATGGTAAAAAGGCCGTTATCCTTTTCTCATATTCTGAGCCAAAAACCTTAACTTCAGTGGCACTTTAACTTGTTGTCTTTGATGGTGACGGCAACCAGATGCGGTTCACAAGCGTACACTGTGACCTGTAAATTTTGGCTTGTAATTTAAGCTTTTCATCGACCTTCTCATCAATAAAATGATGAATATATCCCTCCAATGCGTAGTTTAGGCCCTTTTGGTTACTTCTCAATGACATCTGATCGTTATGTCCCCAAAAATCATCAGTTGCCTCCTGTGAAATGCCGTGTACTGTGACACCTGCCATAGCGCCGGGCACTGAATGTTGATAGTTTGTCTGAGTGAGTGGAGGGGGCGGGGCTTAGCCAGAGGTCAATTAGAGGCCTGGTCTGGTTACCAAGCAGTTCATTTTTATAGAAGTTCTTTGGATGTATAAATCAGGTTGTTGACGACCCACCTGAGCTAATGTTAGTCAGCTGTTTAGATCGTGCACACAGATATAAACTGTAGAAGACTAATTTATTCAGATTCACAGCATGGTAAACAACATGAGAAACAAAACAAGTGGTGACTCGCTGCATCACCTCTGAAGCTCCACTCGTGGATTACTCTGTAAGTTCTTCAGTCTGTGAGGGTCCTCAGGTCAGAAGGATCAAAAGGTAATCCTCTCTGATGTCAGAGTTCAATCAGATGAATGATTCATAACGGATATATTATCTGGAGCCAAGTTTTAAACAAGTAATATTCATACTAATTTAAATTAACAGTCTGTGTGAAAGGAATTCTGTCCCATGTACAGGCCTGTTGAGTTCAGTGATATAAGCAAATAACAGCCCAGGGCTACTAATACAAGTTTTACAGTACATCTGAGATCTTTCAGGGAATTCTAAGTACAGTTAGAAACACATGGTCTGAGACCGTCAGATTATATTCTTATACTACTTTGCCAACAAGATAAATAAATGAATAAAATTAAAATGTCCTGATTACACTGAAGTATGCAGAACCATTGTTTATATACCACACTGAGGAAACAATAAACCATCATCAAGCTTTAATTAACACACTTTCAGAATTCTGCTGAACAAAGTCTTTCAACAGAGAAAAGAAAAAGAGGAGCGAAGGTAAGTGTCAGGGTGAGAGCTGAATGTTAGAGCAGCGTATGGATATGGACGACGGCGTGGGACCAGGTGGTAAGTGTCTCAGGTTTTGCAATACTTGGTTCAAACCTTCATCTTCTTTGTAGCAGCCGAAGCAGCGATGATCTGCAACACGTCTGCAGCACTGATAATAATGACTTCCTGTCTGATGCAGGTTGGCTCAGCTCACAGGATAGTTACACTCTTTTACTCTTCCTTCATCTTTCTCAGTTTTTTGTTAAAAGAAAAAAAGACAACATGCCCAGTCACACTGTGTGCTCACACTGACACAGATGTACATGAGCATCTTATCTGCCCGTCCCAACCTCTGTGCGTATATCTAACAGGCGAGTGCCCAGCTGTGTGTCATTAAAGACTGTGCACATCATGATTGCAGCAAGGACTACAAACCATCATGGCATCTATTGAAAGACTACAAACCCCATAGTAAAGAAGGCAGTCAGGATGATGGCTGCTGCTCAGCTGAAACAGATAAACTGATTGATGCTGCAGTGAGAAGCTGAAAGGGAAACAGAGAGCAGAGCTTTAGTTCTATCACCAAGAAGACTGTGAGGCACAGCTTTGATTTAAACACCTGTTGTGTTTTGTTTACTTTCTGTCTGCAAGAATTCATTTCACCTGTTAAAGGAGACTGAATGGAAGTTGGAAAGAAACTCTTGACTGTCTTCATCTCCTGCACACACTCCTCCAAAGCTCCGAGAGAAAAGCTTCTGACCCCTCAGGACATCACAACACACTGAAAAGCAAATTTAAACACCACACTTTTGTTTTTGCTCCCATGTGTCACAGCTTTGAGTTACTGAGTTGAATCCTGCCAACAGTGATTTATCTCCAGCTGTCCAGACATGACTGTTAATGTGACTGTGAGCATGCTAACAAAGAGCTGGTGACAGAGTGGACGTAATAACTGTGTCAAGGACCCTTTGACCTTCCAACATAAGTGATGCAAGCAGTGACGAAATCTGAACACAGGCAGTCAGCTGGAGACGTGTGATAGACACATGTCTCCAGCTGACTGCTTGTGTTCAGGTCACCAAAAATCATTTTAATACCAGGTATAAACTGGCTCTAAGACTTTTTAATGCACACACATCACGCAGGGCGCCACGTCTCCGTCACACAGAGTCCATCAGGCTCCTCTTCACTGGCTGTGTGAAGCTGCTGGATATTGGCAGGAAGTGGAACACGCTGTCGTACACGCCGATCCAGAGCGTCACAGACGTGCTCAGGGGGTGACACGTCTGCTGAGTCTGCAGGCCGAGAAACAACTGGGATGTTTCAGCTTCCTGTGACATGGAGCCTCGTGGTACATCATCAGGCTGCAACGTGACATCATGACAAAGGTTTGGCAGATCTTTTCTTCAGAAGTTGATGGAAAACATCTGAAAGTTAAAACCCTCCATGATGTTTATTGGTCACTGTTCCTGTGAGCAGCTGAGGTCGACACTGCAGGAGAACGTTCTCTGTGAGGTTCTCCTCAGAACAACAGGTGGAAACAAACAGTCACAAACTTCAGTCAAACTCAAACAGTTTCAGGTCTGTGTTGAACAGAAGCTCGTTTCAGTCAGAAAGAGAAACAGATCAAATGTTGGGAAAGATGGTGATCGAAACGTTCACAGTAAATCAAATGACAGAGTGAAGAGTTGAGCGTGTGAGCTGCAGAGAGAGTTTTATATTCGTGTGTGATCGGAGCCTCCAGCTGCAGAAATCTGAGCGTCTTCTCTGATCGTAACTTCAGATTAAATAAATATGTTCACTTTGGTTTTCTGACTTTATTAAATCAGCTCCTTTTATTTTATTAAACTCTTTGATTTCCTGTCCGTCTCCCTGAAACGCCTCACTGGTTTGATTTTCTGCTTCAGCCAATACAGAGCACGATTCAGATCTCTGAGGTGTTGACGTCGAGACGAAGAGTGACAGCAGCAGGTAATCCGCCACAGCTGCTGCTCGCCGCACGACACCGGCCGAGACTGAGGAGGAAACACTGACGGCTGACTGACGGTTCAGTGATGGTTCAGTGACAGCTGACTGATGACTTACAATAAGATCAAAGGTTATTATGGGATGTTTGTCCAATGAAGCCTAAATAAAACCGCCTACCGCTGCTTTAAATGAGCACAATCAATATATTTCTGTTCTTTTCTTCTTTAATGTGACGACGTCCTGAAATCTTTGACTTCAGTGAAAATAGTAAAATAAATCAGCTGTAGTGAGGTTAGAGTTCTGAGACATTTCTGCAGAATAAAAAACATCAAATCAGATATGTTTAATTACACACCCTGTAGTATCATTTAGAAATTCAGTTTTATAAATCTGTTCACATTTTATGAACCAAGTACTTATAATTCCCGTTAACTCCCAAAACAAAAAAAGAAATAAAATCCATTTAAAATCCCTCCAGTGACTTGTTACAACAACGATTTGGACCTGAAATCAATAATTGATTATTCTGTGATGATACTGAAATGTTTATTTATGTTTCCAGTGTACTCTGAATAAATTTCCCCAAAAGTTTTTGAACTTGTCTCAAAAGGACTCAAAATGTTTCTGGACTCATCCTGGACGATCACGGCACGACTCTGATTAATAATATTATTTTAGTTGGAGAGTTTTATTAATCTGATTCAGTGAGTTTGATCATGACTTTATTTCATATTTTAAAGCCCTGAAACTCGTGAAAAATAGAAATAAACTGTTCAGCATGATAGATGAATATGATTTACAGAACAGGCCTCGCCCTCTTTATTCTTTATATTTCGTCATATTTGATACATTTTAATACGTCAGTCTGTTTTGTATAAACCTGATCATTTTGATCTAAAGATCTGAGCTGAGTTGTTCATAAAAGATAAATTATAAATAAAAAGCAGCGTCTGCAGGAGATCGAAGTTTTCAAAGAACTAAAAGTATTTAAAGTTTTTAAAGTTCTGACTTTCAGCAGGAAACATGACCTGTTAACTATCATTAAGTTTCAGAATAAAAGCTACGATAAAGCAGAGTTTCTGCAGTGTTGAATATTTTTATCTCCTCAGACAGGAAACACTGAATAACACACAGAAAGCCAACAGCTCCCCCCAGTGACACAAAGACAACAGTGACTTGTTGAGAGTCAACATGTCGGTGGAGGAAATAAAATAAATTTACACACAGAAGGAAAATAATCCAGATTAAAAGCATTTATTACAAATATATTTAATAATCCCTGAATTATTTCAGAACAGTGTTTTTGTGGCAAAGACAAAACATGTCTATTTTATCTCTCTGTATATAATAATTAATATTTTTAGATATTCATTTTAGGCAGTAAAGTTCCATTTATGAGAGACGTGTTGCTTTAATCTGAATTAAATATCTAAACACTAAAACACAGAAATATGTTATGATATTTTCAAAGGAAATACGGACAATTTTAAAAGATGTATTTTTCAGTGATGAATTAAGTGTTGTTTAAAATCATCTTGTTGATGTGTGACGTGTGATTTTTATTTATTTATTTATATGTCTGTAAAGTGTTACAGCGGGGGTGTTTCTGGTCCATATTGACATGATGACATCACACAGTTGATCCGTGATGTTCCAGCTCATCCCAAAGGTGCTCTATTGGACTGAGATCTGGTGACTGTGGAGTCCATTGGAGTACAGTGAACTCATTGTCATGTTTGAGATGATGTGAGCTTTGTGACATGGTGCGTTATCCTGCTGGAAGTAGCCATCAGAAGATGGGTACACTGTGGTCATAAAGGGATGGACACGCTCAGCAACAATACTCAGGTAGGCTGTGGTGTTTAAACCATGCTCAGTTGGTACTAAGAAAATCTCCCCCACACCATTACACCACCAGCAGCAGCCTGAATTGTTGATACAAGGCAGGATGGATCCATGCTTCCATCTGAATGTGGTTTTTCCAATCTTCTATTGTCCAGTTTTGGTGAGAAAACCCGTGTGAATTGTAGCCTCAGTTTCCTGTTGTTAGCTGATCATCATTATTATTATTATTATTATTATTATTATTGGGGATTTTTTCTGACAATTTCTGACTATTTTGTTGTTAATCTATTTATCTATTTCATTTTGTTTTGTTTGTTTACTTATTTTTAATTTCAGTTTTCTAGTTTTCCTGTTTTGGGTTGTATTTGTTTCTTTTTGCCTCAGGTTTTTAATGATATATTTGTTTTACTCTGTGAGGTAACATTTGCTTGTGTGGACCCAGGAAGTGTAGCTGCTACCTTGGTAGTGACAGATGGGGATCCAAATATATAAATATACTTGTGTACTTATCTCTGTATCTTTAAGAGGAAGAGCTGGTCCCTTCAGTCTGTCTGCAGCATGCATCAACCGTGACGACAGACGAGTCCAGAACAAACTTTATCGTGTAAACTCAAACTCCCACAAATAAAACTATCACCAGGTTTTTAAACTTCATCAGGACTCTTCACACAGATAAATCTCACAGCTCCACATCAGAGCAGGGACAGAGTCTTTACTGCTGCAAGAAAGAAACAAACACACAAATGGACAAGTGTTGAGACGACGTCCACGAGTCCAACTGTCTAATCTGCTGATTTGACTCATACTTGTTATTAAGAAGATGAAATATTTCCATCTGTAACATCACTGTAAAATATGCACTGTGTGTGTGTGTGTGTGTGTGTGTGTGTGTGTGTCACCTTAGCTGTCTGGGTCTGAACAGGCAGGTAGAGTTTAAACTCTGCTGGGAACTCGTCCTCAGAGTACAGTCGGTCTGCAAAGAACACTCTCCTTATGCGACAGTTAGCGTTGATCTGAGAGGAGGACAGGTCGGACATGAGCAGCACAAAGAGAACACAGTCTTCTAAAGTCACTGTGGGGACTCTACAGTCATGTCCTGATGAAGGTCCATGCTTGACCGAAACGCTGACGAATAAATAAAGCAGAGTAAAAGTGAGTGCAGGAGTCATCTTTTCTTTATAAGTACAAGTCCAAGGGGCTCAACTCCCAGCACCACAAACAACCAGTGAGAATGACTCTACAATCACACTGGTGTCAGTTGTTTCCTGTCTGTCCGTCTCCGTTCACTCACCTGCACACGCAGTGTCTCTGTGTAGTTGGTCCCGTAGGCCATCCTGGTGAAGTCCGACAGGTCGAACTGGATCTGGTTCCAGCCTGTGTCCAGTCTCATGGGCATGGTGCAGGTAAACGTGTTCACTCGTGTCACACTCTGAAAATTACTCGCCCGAAACCTCCGGCGAACGTTTTTATCATCTAACACCTATGAGTTGTAAAAGATGGAGAGAAAACATGAGTGACCACGAACCCTTACACACACACACACACACACACACACACACACGCACACACATGAGTGCATGTTTGTGCCAACGACACATGGAGGGGGGGAGCGGGGTCTGTGTCTGCAGCACTGCCTCCACCTGGACTTCGAAGGTGAAGTACTTCTTGAGGTTTTTGATGATCATGACCAGAACAGGAAGTTTGATGCCCAGTGTCTTCTCTGGGTCTGCAGGACATGATAAATACGTGGTGCTGTGAGGAGTGGAAGAAATAAAAAGATGAGGGTGAGTAGAGCTGGATGAGCTGACCTGAGCTGAAGATTCAGTTGAACAAACTCACCTGATGTTTGTCCCCACGACCTCCAGCACCAGTGAGCAGATGTCCTCGTCTGTGACCCTCTTGATGTGACCGTTCCTCACCTGCCAACACACAGACATATTTAATATTATCCTTCTGCTGAGGAGCGTGTCACCATAATAAACATCACAGACATTAGTTCACTTCAGATAAATCCATACTGATGAATACGTCTGCGTTAAAGTTACATGAAACAGCAGCACAGGTCAAAGGTCATTTAGAAACTATGACATAATGTTGGTTTGGAAACCTGAGGGTTCTGACAGTTTTTGACTTGTGCTGTCCTAGTCTGGATCCTGGTCTCAAAACATTTTAGGACTCTTTATCAAACTGATGTCACAGTTTTCTATATGTCAGTGTCACAGTGTGTCTCAGCTGCTCTTTGTGATCATGTGTAGTTATGGTTCATTTCTTCAACAAACTTTTTGGCTTTTCTTCGTAGTGTCCTTACTTTGTGTTTTTATTGCTTGTTTTAGAGCTTTACATTTTTGTTCTCTGTTGTCTGTAACTGATGATGCTGCCCGTCTCGGTCAGGACACTCCTGAAAAAGAGATTTTTAATCTCAAGAGGTTTTGTGGTTAAATAAAGGATAAATATTTAATATATTTTTTAAAATTGATTTATATTTGTGTTTTATTTCAGGTCATCACGCAGCACGTTACACATGTGCACCTCACACACTGAAATACACACACTCTTCTTACACTGTAAAACCTGATAAGTTGGTTCAACTCAAACAGTTTGAGGAAACAGATTGCCTTAAACCATTTAAGTTTAGTAACACAAACTATTTAAGCCTTAAATATTCTTTGATTTGAGTCCAGGTGACTCAGTTATTTGTGGTTACAGTAACTTTAAGTTACTAATATTAACTCCATTCAGTTAATACAACTTAAATAAATCAAGTGTTTTACACTGTTGTATTTCTCTAAACTTAGTAAAAATGTTTCATTAGATTTATCTGAATTAATTTAAACCAACTTTAATCAATCTGTTGAACCAAATGTTTCCATTTAAGTTTCATTAACTCAGTTTATTTCCTCTAAAGTAAATTATTACTTTCTAGTTGTGAGAACTTAACTATCTGTCGTGGCGACTCAGTACATTTGAGGAAACTGATATCTTTAAAACATTCAAGTTTCATTAACTCAATATGAAAACACGTTAAACACAACTCAAACTATTTAGTGAATGTTGAACACCCAGGACAGAATATTCATCATATCAATGTTTAAACATTTAAATCTCAACAGTTTGTGCTTATGCTGGCACAACTCTGAAAATAAGACTGACATAAAAACACACTGTTTTTTAAAATCAAATTTTCCTCTTAATTTACTGTTAAAAAAACATTTTTTCAATGTTGCCTGGAAGTGAATTATTTCTCACTTTAAACATGATAATCGCAGTTTTAAATTTGACCAGATCTAAACATTCCAATGCACGTGACTTTAAAAACAGTGTGTTGGTGTTCCCTGTGTCCCACACTGTGTCCTGTGGGTACAGTAATTCAGACATGTTGGTACAAGTGATGAACACAGGATGTGACGTGATTTATGGTCCAGTGGGTGTTTAGATCTGAGGTTTATCGCAGATTGAGTCGTCTAAAGTCACACCCAGAAAATCTGGTTTCACAGACTCTTTCCACGGGGTCATCCCTATGTTTCCCGGGTTCTATGTTCCCCGCTCAACCAAAAAGGGTTCTATGTTTCCCGCTTACTAAAAAAAATCCCAGGGAACACAGAACCTTTTTTGCAGGGTTAAGTGGGGAACATTTATTTATTTATTTATTTTTATATTAGGGACAGAGCATATTAATGAACATTATACAAAACGTAAATATGCCAGATTATAGCCGAGGCTAATTTCCATCCGTTGTCCCTATGGGCAGGTTGTTGTTCATAAAAGAAACATACGAGAAAAACACATAGAAGAAACAACCCGGGAAACATAGATACGATCATCATCTGTACGTCTGTGTCTGTGCTGTGGTTTTCTAACAACATGAATTTAGTTTGGTTCAAATTTAAAGACTTTTATTTATGCTAAAATATTGTTTTAATTTACTCACATTCCCAAACTCCCATCCAGACCAATACTAGTGTTTTTAATCACTTTTTAGTTTCAAAATATCACAGGACAGTATTAACAGGGAGGAAACTTTAAAGCGTCATTAAGAGTTAGCCTGATAAATTTAATTAAACTGACACATGTAACAAACAAAAGCTTAAATCAGTCAGTTGAACAAAACATCCAAAACACAAATGACTGTTTCAATATTGTTAAGCTGGAGCTTCTAGATTCCAATGTCAGCTAGCGTTAGTCTTAGCATGGCCAATGGTAGCTTGTGTTAGCATGGCTAGCTAATGAAGCTAACAGCCTGACAGCCTTCAGTCTGACCTGCCTTCACCTTTTTATCCCAGATGTCCAGAGGTTTGCTGCCAACACTGTACAGGACGGACAAGAATCCACTTTGAAATGTGTTTTTAAACATCTTCGTCTCTGCTCTCAGTCCACTGTTCGTCTCTTCACTCGTGTGTTAATGGCTGAATGAAGCTAATGCTAATGTTAGCCACTGTTGGCACGTAGAAAGAAAAAACAGTAGTGGTCATTTATCAGTTATTTTGCTGTTGCTGGGGGAACTGGATCTGTTGGTGCTGTTCACCATGGTTTTTAAATGGTAATGCAACCCAGTCGCCATGGCAACTGAAAGAGGTGAGTGTCGGTGTGAGATTTAGAAAAAATAGCAGAAATAACTTTTGTAATTTTTATATATTTTACGGTATGTGTTCAATCATCTCATAATTTTACCAAAATCCTTCACTTGTTCTGTTGTCTCAAAGTTAGTCCTCTTGGCAGCAGGAGTGCTGTTACTGTGTGACTGCGCCCTCTGCTGGCGGGGAGTAGATGTACCGCGCTACTTCCGGTCTGTCTGTCAGTCTGCAGTGAACTTGGCGGCGACTGAACGTATTTACTGCAGTGTGATTATAAACTGAGAATTTTAACTTCTGATGTTGATTCAAGTGCACAGAGCAGCTTATTAACACTTAACATCAGTGTTAATAAGCTTGTCTTTCCCTCGTGTCAGACATGTTGTGAAGATAGAATACACAGGACAGTGGACTCATATATAAACCTGGGTTTTCAATAAGACCAGTGTCCAGTGTCTGAATGTGCACCTGAACACAGCACAGTGTGGCTGGATCTGCAGACTGTTTCCAGCTACATGAGCGCCAAATAAAACATAAAAAAGCATTATAATTTTTATATTTCTCAAATGATTGCAATGAGTCATTTTTATATCCACATGTTCACAATCTATAGAAAAAACAGTTTTGTCCCCAGTTAATCATAATCTGGATATTAAGGCTGTAATCACTGCGGCTCAACGCTCAGTAGAGGAGTGTGTGTTAGCTTTATATAAACTGAATTATTTACATGGTGAGAGATAATTCATCATGTGGCATTGTAAAAACTCACATTTGTCTAACATGGATTTGCTTTATTCCTTAATTAATATTTGTGGAGACGTCCCCATATAATTTAATGTGGAAGTACAACTTATCAACGTGCTAACGCGCTAGCTAGCTAACTGTCTGCTTATTAACACCTTGATCAGAACAGATTACTCTTCACTTTATTAAGGACACCACAAGAAAACATGTTCTTAGTTTATGTTCACGTACAGACTGTAATGTGTGTTTAGATCCCGTCTGCATCCAGGCAGGGAAAATGAAAGGCCTGCTAATGTTAGCAATGTAGCTAATGTAGCTAGCGTGCTACCTGATCGCTGACAGGTATAAACAAACAACGATCCACCATCCTTTGAATAATCTAAAAAAAGAACGTGTTCTTGTGGCGTCCTTTGTAAAATGATCAGAGGTGAAAGTTTCCATATTCTGTTGTGATCCAGGAGTTCATAAACAGACAGCGTCAGCTAGCTCGTTTAAAAGTTGTCTTTACTTTTGCATGAAATTATATTATACTGTATGTTAATGTCTCCACAAGTTTTAACCAGGGACAATGAGACAAATCCATGTTTGACAGATGTGAGTTTAACAGTTCCTTATGATGATGAATTATCTTTCAGCACATCAGTTCATGTAACACACACTCCTCTACTGAGCGTCCAGCAGACACTAAATATTCACATTATAATTAACTGCAGACAAAACCTTTTTTGATTGCACGTAGATCATAAACTCATGGATATACAAACTGCAACTGGTTCAGAAATATAAATATTAATGTGCTTTTTACATTTAATTTGGCGCTCACACCAACACCACCACTGTCCCTTTCTGCCACCAATTCAGCTCCGCCCACAAAATACCTCATCACTGTTTACAAACACACACACATATATATATATATATATATATATATATATAGATGTAAGGGAGTGAGTTTATGTTCACCAGCAGAGGGCGGTATTTATGTTTCTGTCCTTTTTGGCCCACTGAAGTTTTGAGTCTTTTTGACCCTCCGCAGCCACCGTAGTTCACAGTTTGTTTTGTGCCTGGTAAGGTAAGGAGGGTTTCCAAACACTGTACTAATGAAACCACTTTATTTAAATCATTAACATAACTGTCTGTTATAATTTTATTAAACACGCCAGTCCCAAGAGTGGATATGTTAAAGATGGGACAATTCCTGTAATTTTTATGTTTAAATGTGTTTATACTGATGCACTAACTGTGTGGAGCTAGTTGTGTTGTAGCTGACTAATCAGTAACTGTAACAAGAGGCAGCTGAAGTTTATTTTATTCTGTATTTGATATTTAGTTTAATTCAAGTGTTAATATGTGCCGTGGAAACTGAAGACAGCTTGTTTTGTGTCTGGTAAGGCCAATAAATGAGGGAAGTTTGCTCCGCCTCAACCACCAGTTTGAGTCCTAACTCAACTCAACTCAACTCAACTCACATAACACAACGCAGAGACCTCGCTGGGGCTTGCTGCCTGAAAGATAGGGTTACATATATATATATATATATATATATGTCTGTATGTATATGTATAATGAAATAATTTCACAATTTCACACAACACAAATATATATGTTCAGGTCTGAGGCGGAGCGGAGACCCAGCTGATCCTGTCCTCATGTTCTGGATGGATGGACACAGCAGAGGAGGGACAGACTGCGGAGACATGATCTCAGTTTATACACCGACACTGACCTCAACTATGTGTTTATTGACAAATCTGTGTTCAACAGTGGGTCCTGCTGCAACACACAGAACTCCATTTAGAAATCTCTCAATTTAAGGTTTTTCTTGTCAGCATATGTTCACACCTCATACAACAGGATTTTTGGATTTAAATGAAATCATTATTGATCAGTGGTGATTACGGCTTAAAGATAATGTCATCAAGAAACGCTTTGTACCATCAAAGTTAAACTTTATTAATCAGGTCAGCTGTTAATCTATTTCTCCGCCTGCTGAAGAGCTCCGTGATTAACAGCAGCCAGCAGCGGGAATCAGTTCAGAAAAGATCAGATTATTTAGTGATAAAGTTCCGCTGAGTGAACCAGTCACACCCCGAATTACTCAGAAGACTAAACACATTTATAACAGTTATGAGACTTTGTTCTGAAAGTGAAGTCCGTCCAACTAAATTATTTCAAATTCTAAATAGACAAATATTTAAATGGAGCTCAGCACAACCATTATTGATAAGTGTAGTGTTTAATCAAGGATTGGACAGTTTGTTGGAGAAGTGCATGATGTGAGTCTGTCCCTCTGTCCTCAGTCTGTCCCTCTGTCCTCAGTCTGTCCCTCTGTTCTGAATCTGTCCCTCTGTCCTCAGTCTGTCCCTCTGTCCTCAGTCTGTCCCTCTGTCCTCAGTCTGTCCCTCTGTTCTGAATCTGTCCCTCTGTCCTCAGTCTGTCCCTCTGTCCTCAGTCTGTCCCTCTGTCCTCAGTCTGTCCCTCTGTTCTGAATCTGTCCCTCTGTCCTCAGTCTGTCCCTCTGTCCTCAGTCTGTCCCTCTGTCCTCAGTCTGTCCCTCTGTTCTGAATCTGTCCCTCTGTCCTCAGTCTGTCCCTCTGTCCTCAGTCTGTCCCGGCTAAACTTTATGAAACATAATTCTCTCTTTCTTTCAGAAGATAAAGGCCTTCACACAGACAGAGGTGTTTCAGGTCAGAGACAAACACAGGTTAACGTCTCTGTCTGTCCCACACTGCACAGTGAGTAGTTCAGAGATCACTGTTAACACCATGAGCCAAAGGAAAAACTAAAACAGCTGAACAAAGACAGTTACACATGAAGGTTTTACACCAGGGGGAGACAGAGGTCTCTATAAATATATTTAACCCTTTACAGTCTGATGCTTTTTGTGTTTGAGCGTGTTGAATTAAAACAACAGTCTGACCTGTTAAAAACATCAAGTCTTGTTTTTCTACCTGTGAATTTACAGTAATATAATGTGTCGGCTAAACACAATTAAAAATACACATTATGTGATGCTGACTGATGTTTTTATCTAAATGTGTTTGTTTGTTTTGCTTGTTGTTGCTCTTTGTGGACATGCTGATGACACTTTTATTTTTCCAGTGTAGAATAACAATGAAGTTTTGGTCTGATTAAAGTTCTCCTGCTCTCATTAATACAAACATCACTCAGTATTTTACCCTGAAAGATATGATCTGTTATTATATTGATGAGCAACAAGTTTATGACATTTGTTAATGTCTTTATTTATTGGGGGAATTCTTTCTTCATAAACAGAAGTTGTTAGTTTCACAACCCTCCCTCCATCTTGTTTTGATTGAATTTACCTCATTGTTGAACTTTTTATGAACAAACAGAAAAACTGTGAGAATATTACAAAAAAATATTTGATGTAAAATAAACTGTTTCTCTATTCTTACTTTATTTATTATCTGTTCATCTTTCATCACAATTTGTTTCCGCTCTCGTGTTTGTTTTATACCTGATGTACACCTGTTACTTTATCATGAAACTGAGTTAGCATTTGCACTTTGTTTAGCTAACGTTAGCAGCTTTATCTCTGCTGAGACGTCCAACATTAATCTGAACTGTGAGAGATAGTGAGCAATAATCCTGGTGCAGGTGTAAAGTAACACAGATCTGTGGTGTTGGTGATAACAAAAGTTACAGCCTCTCAAACTTCATCGCTGTCATGATTTATATGTGTGCAGCTAATTAACGTTAGCTAGATAACAAGTGTAAGTCACTGAATCAAACTGAAGGCATAACAGCTCAGGGCCTAATGGGGCAGATATTCAGCAGACTGACAGGTCGTATCATGAAGTCCAGACAGAATAATGATCAGAGCCAGAGGTGTTAATACAGACAGTGCAGGCCCCTGAGCTGGAGGGGCCCACAGAGAGAGAGGGCCCTTGCAAGTGATTCAAATTGCCACCTTGGAAATTTACCTGTGTGCAAACATACATGATAAAAAAAAATAGTTCTTCTAGTTCAGATGTGTTGAGAGCATATACAGCCCTCCCGATCTGAGGTGCCGCCCCCCCCCCCCCAGTGATGTCCTCCTCATCCTCCATTGTTCAGCAGACGCTCGTCATTCAGCTGCTGATTGATTGATCACTGTAGTTTGCCAAAAAAAAAAACAAGTGTACACAAACATGTAAACAG